CCACGTGGGGACCGCCTCTTTGGCTACAAGCTGCCCTGCCTGCCCTTCCTGCCCGAGCTTGTCGTGTGCGACGAGCACCGGGCCGACCTGTCCGGCAGCGCACTGCAAGTGCAACTGCCCGGCCCCCGAGCTGGTCAGGAACCTCATCCTCGTCGGCGCGCTCGTGGCGCTGGTGGCCGGCGCGGCCGGGCTTCTGGTTGGGCTCACCGTCGGCAGCGGTGTGTCCTTGGTGCGGCCCCGGCGGGCCACGCCCGCGGCTCCTGCACCGGCTCCGGCGGTGGCGCCCGTGATCACGGTCTTGACGGACAGCTCGGGACCTGTCACGCCGGCCTCGCGCCGGAATGCCATCGCTTGATGTCAAGGAGGCCCAGGTCCTCGTCCACTACCCAGATGACGAGAATGGCTTGGTGTGGCATCACCGTGTTCTCTTGCATCGCGTTACTGGAGGCCGGTGGGTGCGCCTCACGCCCGACCTGGGCATGCAGATCCACGATCTCAACGAGCAGCGGCACAAGATCCTCGGACGGAGGGCCCCTTCCCGCCCGACATCGCTGCCCGCTGCTACGTCTTCGACGACGACGGAGCCAGCCGGGCGCAACTCGACGAGTTCAAGCGCCAGGCTCGGGCGCAGGCGGCCATCCTCGGCGACGTGGAGTTCGAGGACGCCGAGGAGGTCAAGCGGTTGGTGCATGAGGCGGGGAGCGACCATTTTGGCAAAGAGGTCCCTGCCGAGGTGCTGGAGGATGATCAGAGGTCCGTCCCCCTCGGGTCGCTGGGCATCGTCGACTGGCTCGGCGAGAAGCGGTTCGTGGAGCGGGTCGCGGCCGACAAGGTCGACGAGTGCAGGCAGCAGCGCGAGGAGTCGGAGAGCCACTCCAGGATCCTGGGCGTCCACCGCAAGCACGGGAAGCGCAACCTCGCGCTGCACGACGCGGCGCAGCTCTTCACGGAGGACAAGTTCGATGACTGGCCGTTCCCGCCGCCGCGCGCGGCGTTGGAGTGCCTCGAGTCGATCCGCGACGGGCCGGGCTCGATGGTGGTTTACGAGAGCGAGTGGAGGCAGGACAGCGGCGTCGGCGACGGCACCGCGGCCCTCCACGAACACTGGAACAACACGGAGGCGTTCAGGCTGGCCCACTAGGTGGACCAGCTCAACATCCCCAACCTGGCGCGCTTCGAGCAGTTGGTTCGCCGCCAGGTCCAGATCGAGATGGCGGTGGAGCGGAACGCGAAGCACCCTGACTACGGCGGCCTTGACACGGTGCTCGGCGGCCCGACGACCGAGAGCGGCGCCGCCTCCAGCAAGTCCTTCCGCGACTGGGTCTACAAGAAGCAGGGCGGGCGCGCGCAGACGCTCAAGCAGGCCCGGCTCTTGCGCGAGGAGCGGGCCCAGGAGGAGAAGCGACCCCGCGGCGGCAAGGGAGATGGCGATGATCCGAGAGGCCCGAGGAAGCCGAAAGGCCCCAAGCTGGGGGGCGACGGCAAGGGCGACAAGTCAGGGGGAGCGGGGGGGTGACCACAGTGGTCAGCCCCCTTCAGGCCGGGTCGGTCGCGCTCCATGGCCGACCCCGCCACCAGTTTTGATCATGGAGGTGCCGCTGTCCGACGGCGACTCCGAGCACAGCGGCGTCACGGGGAACTCTTTCCCCTCCCGGCGCCTTCCTCTTCTTCGCCAGCTTCTCCCGGCGCCCCCCGATACGTTCGGCAGCGACGGCTTGAACAGCGGCGTAAGCATCGGCGAGAGTGCGAAGCGGTTAGGTATCCTAACCAGCTCACCGCCGCTACTACTTCTCCCTCGAGCGTCTCAAGTACGAGGAGATATGGAGGGGAGAGAGCCACGCCCTTACAATGCGGTCTCCTCCAGCACGTCGCACGGCGCGTCAAGGTGCATGGCCCCCCCCCCCCCCCCCCCATCGAGACCTGGACGAGAGTCGAGCCCTCGCGGAGCTCACGGCGTCCAGGGACCTGTACTCGCAGGAGCCGAAGAATCTCGCCGAGTACGACATCGACAAGCTCAAGATCTGCCGCTCGGGCACCGTGGCCAAGGACGCAAAGTCGCTCTTGCCGCCCGACGCGGCCGGCCCCATCAGACACTATGCCCACTGCGTCGAGCGGGACTCGGAGCAGATACTGGAGTTGCAGGCCGCGCGGGACTTCCCGCGGCCGCACTGGGATCCCACGCTCGCTCGGGATCAAGATGGGCTTCTTCTTCTCATCGATCGGCTTCGACAGGCGAACCTCATCAGCTTCCGCCGTGAGCTCAAAGCCAAGATCGGGATCTTCTTCGTCAAGAAAAAGGACCCCGCCTGGATCAGGCTCATCATCGACGCGAGGCAGGCCAACCGCTGCCATCGCGCGCCGCCCAAGACGAAGTTGGGCTCCGTCGGCGGGTTCTGCGAGCTCGACCTGTCGGACTCCGCCCTCCACGACCTCGGCGGCTTCGGGCCCGTGGCCGAGATCTGGGGCGGTACCAGCGACGTCGACGACTGCTTCTACCAGATGCTGGTCGAGGAGCTCGGGTCGTGGTTCGGGATCGACATGCCTAAGACCGCGGGCGAGTGGGGCGTCTCCAGCGTCTACGACGACGACTTCGGGCGCCACGCCCCCATCGACTCGTCCGACACCCTCTACCCCGTCTTCCACGGCATGGCGATGGGGTGGTCCTGGGCGCTTCACCTGGCCAACGAGGCCGTCACCTTCCTGGCCAGCAAGAGCGCGGTCTGCCCTCGGTCGCTCGTGCGCGAGCGCACGCCTGCCCCGGCCCTCCGCGTCGGGCAGGCCGTCTCCGGCGTCTACGTGGACAACTTTACGACCATCGCCGGGGGCAAGGTCGACGCCGAGGACTCGATCGAGCGGTTCAGGCGCGCGGCGGCGGAGGCCGGCATCGGCACGCACGTCGATGGCGACGTCGGGGTGGTCTTCGAGAGCCTGGGGGTCGTCTTCGATGGCAAGCAGCGGCGCCTGCGGCATCTGCCCCGCCGCGCGTGGCGCGTTTATCTGGCCACGCGGGCTTTACGGCGGCGCCGCTGGGTCCACGGGAACGTCCTGGAGGTCTGGATGGGCCACGTGGTCAACCTGTTCGGCCTGCTGCAGCCTGGGCTGTCCTGCTTCCAGCAGATCTACCCGTTCGTGGCCAACGCACGGGGGCGGCGAGTTCGCCTCACCGACGCCATCAAGAACGAGATGCGCCTTGTCCAGGGCCTGCTGTTCCTCTGCGAGTACGACCTGGGCGCGGACTTCAGCCACGAGGTCTACTGCTCGGATTCGTCGAACATCGGCTTCGCGCTGCTCTCTACCAGAGCGACGGAGGCGAGCTGCGGGACCTCACCCGCTACCGCGAGAGATGGAGGTTCAAGCTGGTGGAGACCCTCTCTGAGGTCGCCCTGGTCCGGCCCGAGTGGGCCGAGTACGTTGGAGGTCGCTTGCGGCCTGGAAGTGGAGCCGATCTGCCCGACGGTGCCTACGCCGACGTTGCCGTGCGAGGGTCTCGACCCTGTGCCATCGGCCCGCGGACGCAGCACGGGCGCCTCCTGGACGAGGAGCGCCACCGCCGGCTGGCCGACAAGGCCGGCCGAGTCGGGCGACGGGCTCGTGAGCCCCGCCCTCGGCCGCGCCACGAGGAGGTCGAGGTGCCGAGTGCCATCCCGCCGGTCGACCAGTGCTGGGACACGCCGCGTCGCTGGACCCATCTGCGAGTCGGGCGCTGGAAGTGGACCAAGGAGCACATCAATATCAAGGAGGGCCGAGCCTCCTTGTTCGGCCTGCGGAGGGCGACGCGCACCCGCCACAGACACGCCAAGCGGGTCGCGTCGCTGGGCGACAACCTCGCGTCCATCTGTGTTTTCGAGAAGGGCCGCGCGAAGTCGCGGGCTCTTAATTCGCTGGCGAGACGGGCGGCCGGCTACCAGATCGCCGCTCGGATTCGCCGGCACTCTCGGCACGTTGAGAGCAAGCGAAATGCCGCAGACGCCGGCTCGCGTCTGCACCAGTCTGGAGGGTCGGCCGAACGGCCGTCACATCATACCGAGCCTCGTCCAGAGCAAGATCCAGAGTCGTGTTCTCATGGCTCGGCTGACCCTCCAGCAGCAACACCAGTCATGTCACTCGGGGGTAGAGGACCCCTCCGAGCCGCCGTCCCGGGCAAGGAGACCGTGGCGCTCGAGCTCTTTGCCGGCGAGGCTGGCTTCACCTGGGCCCTTCGGCCCCGCGGTCTGCGGGTCGGGCCGCCCTGCGAACTGCTGCGAGGCGCGAAGTTCGACCTCACCAGAAAAAGCACTCAGAACCTCATCAAGTCCTGGATCCTTGCGGGCCTCATCTGGTGCATTCATCTGGGGATCCCATGCACGGCCTGGTCTATTGCGAGGAGGGGAGTTGTTGATCTGGCAAAGGCTTACGCCAAGGAGGCAGTCGCTGTGGAGCTGGCCCTCTTCACTGCTGAGGTATGCACGCTGGCTTCCCGTTGCGGGGTCCTCTGGAGCCTGGGGAACCCCGCGTCATCGGGGCTTTGGGAGTTCGGGCCCATCGTGGACCTCATGGGGCCCCCCGAGGTCTTCAAGGTCACCTTCCACATGTGCCAGTATGAGGTCTCCCACAAGAAGCCCACCACTATCCTTACCAACACGTTGGCCCTGCGCGGGCTCGAGGCGAGGTGCCGGGGGGGTCATGTTCGTCGTATCCTTGAGGGTCAAGAACGAGTCTTGGGAGTTGATGGAGTCTGGCGTTCACAATACAAAACAAGAACATATCCGTCGGCATTGTGCTCGAAGTGGGCTTCTCTTTTTTTACTATCGCACCGTCTTCAGCACTTGGGTCTCAGCCAGCTTTCGTGGATAAGTGGGATGAAGCTCTTGCGGCACTTGTCGGACAACGGAGGCCCCGCGCCAACCACAGAACGGCTGAGAGGGCGGACGACGCCAATTCAAAGACCTTGAACGCGCAGAAGGATACAGCGCCGAAGATAGATTGCGCTTCGGGCGCCATCCTCCGGCCTGGGCCTCGTCGGCAGAAGGCACAGCGGAGGAAGATGGTGGCTGCTAGGTCCACGGCCCCCGCGGATCGCTTATTGCAGGAGAGCACCGCGGGCGAGAAGTCCAAGGACATCCACCGACGCGCGCTCGGTCGCTTCTTCAGCTGGGCTGAGGAGCGCAGCCTCTCGACCAAGCCCAACGAGCTCGCGTCCACCATGAATCAGTACTTCTGCTTTAAGTTCCAGGAGGGGTACGGGTCCGGCTTGGGCCGCTCCGTCTTCTTCGGGCACCTTTTGCTGCACTCCACGAACTACAAGCTCGAGAGGGACCGGCTCGGCGACGTCGAGAGGGCGCTCGCCGGCTGGGCCAAGCGGGCGCGCGAGATCGTGAAGGACCCCGCGCCCCAGGAGGTGCTGCTGGACATGGGCGTCTGGATGCTCGATCACGGACGGGGCGAGAGCGCCTCGTGCATGGCCCTGCAGTTGGACGACTACGCCAGACCCTCCGAGAGCGTGGACCTCGTGCTTGGCAACGTGCTGAAGACGGTCGTCGGAGTTCGCGGGGCCCCGCCCCGCGACTGGGGCATTGTCTTCGTCCCGGCGGAGCTCGGCTTCGTCATCAAGACGGGCCAGGTCGACGACTCCGCGGCGCTGGGCAGCCCTTCGCGCATTTGGGCCCCACAGGTGGCAGAGGCTCTCGTGACGCGGGCCTCTGGCGGCACGCGTCGCTCGCGACGCGGTCAGCAGGCCAGTCCCACGACCCGCCTCTTCGACACTCTCACCTTGGCACAGTACGAACGGGACGTCAAGGACGCCGCCAAGGCGCTCGGCTACGAGAAGCTCAACATCACGCCGCACACGGTGCGGCACACGGCCCCCTCGCACGACATCTACCACAAGCACCGGTCCTTGGAGCAGGTGCGACGCCGCGGCCGCTGGGCCGCCAAGAAGAGCGTCACCCGCTACGAGCGCCACGCCAAACTCTTGAAACAGTACAGCAAGTTGACGGCCGTGCAGATCGCCAGGATGAGTAAGTCGGTCCGCTGGTTCCCAGCTGCTGTCCTTAAACACATTCGTGGTCGTTGAATGCTGTTCGAAGCCTACCCACCCACGTCCACCCCTTTTTCTCTTGATATTCGTGACTGCGTCCCAGAGTACCCATATGGGCGACAATACGGGAGAGCTCCGATCGGAGAGAGTTTTTTCAGCGCAAACGCATGACGACTCCTGGGACGGATTCTCTGGATCGCACAGGTGATCATCGGAAGAGAGAAAAGAACGACCTTCTTTGCAATATCTGAGGCCTTCGGGCGCCGTGATATCTGAGGCCTCTCGGCCGCCTTCCGCAGGTTTGGGTTGTGGGTAGGCTCCTAGAGGCTCTGGGCACGCACTTAGGGTTTAGAGGAATGTGAAATATTATTGTGTTTTCCTCCTTCCCGCTCGGCGTGTGCTCAAGCTCTCCCACCCACGGGCCACCCTGCTTGAGGGAGAGCTCCGATCGGAGAGAGTTCTTTCAGCGCAAACGCATGACGATTCCTTGGACGGATTCTCTGGATCGCACAGGTGAGCGACTACTACTACGATTTTTACTACTACTACTACTACTACTATTACTATTACTACTACTACTACTACTACTACTACTACTACTACTACTACTACTACTACTACTACTACTACTACTACTACTACTACTACTACTACTACTACTACTACTACTACTACTACTACTACTACTACTACTACTACTGCTACTACTACTACTACTACTATAACTATTACTCTACTACTACTACTACTACTACTACTACTACTACTACTACTACTACTACTACTACTACTACTACGACTACGACTACGACTACGACTACTACTACTACTACTACTTACTACTACTACTACGACTACTACTACTACGACTACTACTACTACTACTACTACTACTACTACTACTACTACTACTACTACTACTACTACTACTACTACTACTACTACTACTACTACTACTACTACTACTACTACTACTACTACTACTACTACTACTACTACTACTACTACTACTACTACTACTACTACTACTACTACTACTACTACTACTACTACTACTACTACTACTACTACTACTACTACTACTACTACTACTACTACTATAACTATTACTATCAGTACTTCGACTACTGCTACTGTTACTGCTACTGCTACTGCTACTGCTACTGCTACTGCTACTGCTACTACTACTACTACTACTACTACTACTACTACAACTACTACTACTACCACGCACTGAAGGCGAACCGCCGTGTCAATGACTGTCATGCATGGAGGTGGCCGGACCTGTAAGCCGAAAATGCAGAAGAGTTTCGGCATCCGGAAGTCCCACGTTTGCCCATCCTGACCTAACCTCCCTGCAACCCGATTATGATCATCATCGCGGCCATCTATAATCGGCTTGGTCAGCTCTGGGGATGTGCGGGACTGCGTGGCATCTTGGTGCAGGCAATCCGACAACAGAGCATGACACCTGGGTGGCAGTATCCATGTGGCGCGATCAACACAGTGGCCACCTTGATGTTGGCATCTACCTTGGCCCATGAGACGACTGAAGGAGGGTGAAAAAGCAGAGAGTCTACATCCACTCGCAGTCAGACCCAGGCATATTCAGACTGTCAGACTCACTTGGGCCACTGCCCACCGCGATATTGCAGGCGTGGCACTTGGGCACGGCAAGGGGGAGCCGCCAGGGGTGGAGACGCTCCAGGATCCGCACCCAGATTGCACGGATGTCTCAGGCGGTTTGGATGCCCAACGTCTTCCTTTTTCGGAGAAGATTCTGACGGTGTCTCAGGCGAGTCGTTCTTTTCAGCGCTCCCACGACGGAGCCGCCAGGGGTGGGCGCACTGCAGGATCGGCGCCCAGATTGTGGGGATGTCTCAGGCGGCGTCCTCCTTGTTTGGGTGCCCAACATCCTGTGCTTTGTGAGCACATCGCAAACATGCCTCATTTGAGGCGTTGGTTTCAGCACTCCCAAAGGGCAGCCGCCAGGGGTGGGGACACTCCAGGGTTCGCGCCCAGATCGTGGGATGTCCCATGCGGTGGCCCTGCTTCTGCCTCCAAAGGCTTCTGTTTGGATTTGCGCGTGTGTTCCTCACTCACTCACTCACTCACTCACTCACCTCCTCCTCCTCATCATTATCCTCCTCCTCCTCATCCTCCTGCTCCCTGTTGCTCCTCCTCTTATCCTCTTCCTCCTCGTCTTCCCCACTCCGACGGGTGCAGGAACACCCAGACTTATTCATGAGCATCTCTTCCTCAAGTTGAAGCGTACAGGCGCATAGCGCGAAGCGAAATCGCATTTGCATATGTGTATATAAAGTATGTGCGTATATACTTATACACGACATGTATACACGCACGCGCGTATATCGAGGGGGATCCAAATAGACCAGCCACCCTTGTGGGAGCTGCAGTCCTTTCCACACTGGTGGACCCCTTGTATCCGACGCCCCTCTCGAGAGATCGTCGATGCGCTGAGGCCTCCCAGGGGGGCAACGAACACAGCTCCCCCTGGTGTGGCTGGTCGGCCGGCAACGAGGAGCTGGTCGCCCCCGCCTTGCCCCCATCTCTGCCTGCCCCCCCTGCCCTCTCCGCCTCCCGCCCCGCAGGACGGCGGCGATGACGGGGGCGACATCAGGAGCAGAAAGGCGCAGTCCAGCGCAGGCCTCCTGCGACGAGGGGGGAGGAGGATCGAGGATCGAAGAGGCAGGATCGAGCTCGAGGGAGGATCGAGGAGTTCAGGTCAGGCAGGGCAGTCCACGAAGGCGCATCGATGAGAAGGCAACCGGCGGGGGTGAAGCATAGGCCGCTCCAGCCCAGGATCGAGGAGGAGGAGCAGGAGGAGGAGGGAGACGAAGGTCCAGAGAGCGGGAGCGGGAGAGGGACGAAGGAGGGGCGACGGCGGCAGGGCCGGGGCCAGGGCGAAAGGGCAACAGACCCGCACGTGTGCTTGATCCAGGCAGCTCCAGCGTGCTCCGCGCGCGCGCGCCTGGGCTGCTGGAGCTGCCGGCGCATGCGTTCACGGGGCCGCTTCAGCGACTCGGGGGGGGCGATCGAGAGTCGAGGTGTTCGGGAGCTCGCTGTGTATTTTCGGGGCTGGGCCCGCCTCGAGGTATTGGTCGGAGCGCGCCACAGGGGGCGGGGGGGGGGGCGACTCTGCGCGGGAGGAGGTCACCGCAGAGCTCCCAGTCTCAGGGGCGAGGTCGTGAGCTCTTCGGGGCCAGCGTCGTGGAGCAGTCACGGTCTGTTGCGGGAGGGCGGCGACGGCCTGCGGCGGCGTCGACGACGAGGTAAGGGGGGGAGGCGGAAGGGGAAGGGAGGGGGAGGTGAGGGGAAGGAGGGGAGAAGGGTAGCAGGAGAAGGAGAGAAGGAGGTGGAGGGGGAGGGGGAGGAGGAGGAGGAGGAGGAGGAGGAGGAGGAGGAGAGGAGGAGGAGGAGGAGGACGCGGCCACCTCCAATTTCCAAGAATACCGTGGCATCCTGGCGCGTTCTGGGCGCCTTGCGCTATGCGCGCGCGCGCGTGAGCGAGAGGCCCCAGCTCCAAGCGGGATCAGAAGGGAGACGACTTCGACTTGTTTGACGACGACTTCGACGACGGCCTGGGCCCGAAGCGGAAGTGAGCACGCGGCCGAGAACTCCGTCGCGACCGCCTGGGGCCCGAAACATACGGTTGATTCGTGCCGTGTCGACGCGACGACGACCCCAGCGCGGGCGCTGAGGGTTGAGTGGCGCCAGTGGCTCACTGTCGGCCAATATGGCACTATCTACCGATCGAAAAGCCGCCGATCGTTCGAGGATCATCAATCCACGTGGTGTTGAAAACAAGCGCCTGGGTCGTCCTGACACGAACATACCGCTTTTGGAAGCTGCTTCTCCTGCGATGCAGGGCTCGGCCTGGGCCGGAGTGTCCCCTGCCAGGAATTCAGTTTCTGTTCGGTTCGTATCGCGCCGCGCTTGCGAGAGGGGACCGCCAGTCGCAGGCAAGGGGGTGAGTTCGACAATTTGCATCGCATATTTCCCAACCATCCTGTGGTGTTTGGTCCTCGTTTTGAAGAGACGGTCCCCGCGTTCTCCTCCTCCCTCCTTCCTCATCCTCGTCCTCCTCCTCCTCCTCCTCCTCCTCCTCCTCCTCCTCCTCCTTCTCCTTCCCCTCCTTGCCTTTGCTCTCCGCATGTCTCTGTTTCGATACACCCCTCACACGTTTTGTGGCCCCATAGGGAGCTTTGCCTAAGGCCCCAGTGGCGCAGCTCGCATGGCGCCGCCGCCCCATTTTGGTACACCCCTCACACGTTTCGTGGCCCCACAGGGGGCTCCACCTAAGGTCCCAGTGGCGCAGCTCACATGGCGTCGCCGCCCCATGTGGGCACACCCCTCACACGTTTTGAGGCCCATAGGGAGCTCCTCCCAAGGTCCCATTGGCGCAGCCCGCATGGCGCCGCCGCCCCATTTTGGCACACACCCTTCACACGTTTCGTGGCCCCACAGGTCCCAGTGGCGCAGCTCGCACGGCGCCGCCGCCCCATGTGGGCACACCCCTCACACGTTTCGTGGCCCCATAGGGAGCTCCACCTAAGGTCCCAGTGTCGCAGCTTGCATGGCGCCGCCGCCCCACTTTTTGGCACACATCCCTCACACGTTTCGTGGCCCCGTAAGGAACTCCACCGAAGGTCCCAGTGGCGCAGCTCATGGCGCCGCCACCCCACTTTTTGGCACGCCCCTCACACGTTTCGTGGCCCCGTAGGGAACTCCACCGAAGGTCCCAGTGGCGCAGCTCGCATGGCGCCGCCGCCCGCCGCCCCATGTTGGCACACCCCTCACACGTTTCGTGGCCCCAGAGGGAACTCCACCGAAGGTCCCAGTGGCGCAGCTCATGGCGCTGCCACCCCACTTTTTGGCACGCCCCTCACACGTTTCGTGGCCCCGTAGGGAATTCCACCGAAGGCCCCAGTGGCGCAGCTCGCATGGCGCCGCCGCCCCATTTTGGTACGTACACCCCTCACACGTTTCGTGGCCCCACGGGTCCCAGTTTGGCAGCTCGCACGGCGCCGCCGCCCCATGTGTGCACACCCCTCACACGCTTCGTGGCCCCATAGGGAGCTCCACCTAAGGTCCCAGTGTCGCAGCTTGCATGGCGCCGCCGCCCCACTTTTTGGCGCGCACACACACACACACACACACACACACACACACACACCTCACACGTTTCGTGGCCCCGTGGGGAACTCCACCGAAGGTCCCAGTGGCGCAGCTCGCATGGCGCCGCCGGCCCACTTTGGCACACCCTTCACACGTTTCGTGGCCCCATAGGGAGCTCCACCTAAGGCCCCAGTGGCGCAGCTCGCATGGCGCCGCCGCCCCATTTTGGTACACCCCTCACACGTTTCGTGGCCCCACAGGGGGCTCCACCTAAGGTCCCAGTGGCGCAGCTCGCACGGCGCCGCCGCCCCATTTTGGTACACCCCTCACACGTTTCGTGGCCTCATAGGGAGCTCCACCGAAGGTCCCAGTGGCGCAGCTTGCATGGCGCCGCCGCCCCACTTTTTGGCACACACCCTTCACACGTTTCGTGGCCCCGTAGGGAACTCCACCGAAGGTCCCAGTGGCGCAGCTCGCATGGCGCCGCCGCCCGCCGCCCCATTTTGGCACACCCCTCACACGTTTCGTGGCCCCAGAGGGAGCTTTTCATAAGGTCCCAGTGGCGCAGTTTGTATCGAGTTGTTCTTGGCAGGGCCGCCGGAGGGCTTGCGGAAGCAGCTGGGGCAGTTTGCCACGCGCACGAAACGGTGCAGGAGGGAAGCGGCGGCACTCGCCAGGGAGCTGAGCTTCACTGAGTTTAACCGCGAGGCTTGACCTGAGGAGCGGCCCGCCCGAACCTCACCGTCTTTCGACTGTCTGACTGTTTGTCCTCGCGCCGCGGGCGACCCGCGCGCGTCGCTGGGACCCGTCGCCGGGACCCCTCCGGGGCGACCAACGCGCGACGCGGGGACTCCGTGCGGCGCTGCGCCCGCAGCCTTGGACGTGGGCGCGCACGGGCAAAGAGGGAGAAAAAAACGGGAATGAAGCTGGCGCGGTCCTCGTGAGGAGCGTGCCGACATGGGCGTCGCGGCGCGCGGGCGCTGCATTGGGGATTCCAGGTGAAGCTTCCTGCGGCGGCCACGCTCAGTGCCACGAGTACTTCAGGAGCGAAAGAAGGACGTACATGTACATGAATCCACGCTGGTTTCGAGAGCACGCATTGCACAAATGTTCGTACAACGCGGCCGGTCTCGCGAATCGAGGGGCCGTGTTCATGTACATAGCTGGGCGCGTACGTCCTTTGTGGGCTCCCTAGTACTCATGGTCAGGCATAGGTGAACCATTCACATTCGTACATATATATATATACATATAACCCTTGTACATTAATTTCGGGGGAGCGTAAGACCCGGGTTTGCCAGGACTCGGGATCGCCATCGTTTTTTGACGACCGCGCCTCGGATTCTGACGAGGAGGAGTTTCGTGGGATGTCTGCAGCGGGAGGCCTCGTCAAAATGCAGGCTCGGCCTCGTCATTTTTGTTGACGACCTCGTCGGGGATTTCCGAGTCCCCCGTACCCAGGTCTTACGTCCCCCTGATAATTAGGCGCGGCCATGCTCGCACGCATGCAAGTATATACATAAATATATACACATAACTATAGATAAACATATATGACACTCGCACGCAGACTCACTCACACTCAGACTCACCGCGCTCTGTCTCATTCGCGCTCAATCTCTCGTAACTAGACGTATCGTCTTTGTTCATGCTGTGTACCCCGCCACGCAATTCGGCGCACCTTTCATGCGGTTTGTGGCCCCATAGAGAGCGCCACCGAAGAAGATATTCACAAGCGCGGTATTCACAACTGCATATGGCAGGGTCCTTCGCCAGGCTAATTTGCTCCCTGGTGTGCCCCGCGATCTTCTGGTGGGTATCTACTGTCCTGCAGACCACTCCGCCACCATGTTCTGGGAGAGTCCAAGGGGGGGGGCTTCGGGGGTCTTTGCGCGGCCTGCTGCGTCTGGGAGGTTTCTGCGGAGGTTGTGGTGTTGTATTGGATGTGGAAGGTACAGTGGACCCGACTTGGTAACAACAGTCCGGGCAGCATCTTACTTGTTTTTAGAATTTCGTGACTTGCAATGCCGAGCTTGCCCATTACATCGTGCACGTCAGCATCGCAACAGGAACGGAAGCGGGCACACAATACGAGTTTAGTGGAAGGGGCCTGGGATTTGATCACATTTTTGGAGTAGCCGCTTCAGCCCATCCAGAAACGATGCCCAGGCAAGTTTCTTTGGTCAGGGATGTGGAGGAGCATGCAGCGGAATAAAAGGTTGGGGAAGCCGTCATACTCCAAGAGGGGGAGGGTTTGAGGAGGAATCGGAGATGGAAGAGGGGGAGGGGGGGAGGAGGGAGGAAAGGAAAGTGAGGAGGAGGAGGAATAAGCGGATGAGGAAGAGGAGGAGGAGGAGGAGGAAGGCTTTGTGGATGCCTTTCGGAGTCTCTTCTGATGTCTCATTCCAGTTTCTTGGGGTCCTCTTGGGACATCTTCGGAGCCTCTTGGCGGTCCTCTGGGGTTATTGGAGCGTTTTGGGACCCTCGGGGGAGCCTCCAGGGGCCTGTCGGGGGGTTACCACCCGAGCACCCCTGTCAAAAACTAATGCTACGTGCTCGCGGGGCGCCCGCGCATGGTCCAGGCTTTGGAAGCAAAGTGCACTTTGCACTGTCAGTTGGCAGGGATGGTTGGCCTGCGCGCAGCAAGCAACGTGGGGGCACCCCGCCGTCCCTGTCAACAACGAACGCAAAGTGGTCGCGGGGCGCCCGCGCATGCTCCAGATTTGGAGGCCAATAGTATTTGGCATTGTGTTCTTGACACGGATGGTTGGCCTGCGAGCAGCAAGCAGTACGAGGACCCCCCGCCGCCTTCGTCAAAAACGAATGCAAGTGGTCGCGGGGTGCCCGCGCATGGTCCAGGTTTTGCGGCGAAGAGTGGTTTGTATTTTGGGGGACAGGGATGGTTGGCTTGCGCGCAGCAGTCAATATGAGGGCACCCCCGCCGTCCTTGTCCTTATCAAGTACAAGTTCAAACTTATCGCGGGGTGCCCGCGCATGGTCCATATTTTGCCACAATGCAATTCGCATCGGTTTTCTGACAGGGATGGTGGGGGGGTCGGCATTCGGCCTGGTAAGCTGCCGGTCGCCTGGGGGAGTGGGTGGTTTTTAATAGGGAACAATGATCAACCCCTCCCCGAAGGGGAAGAAGGGCGGTTGGAAGAGAAAACGCTCTAAACCACTCACGCCCTGAAGGGCTGGTGGGATTTAAAACCACGGACGCCGTGGGCATCGACGCGGAGACTCCCACAGCGGCCACATTGGAAGACATCTTCAACACACGCTTGCTTGTCCTGAACGGCTTCACATCGGCCAAGTCCCACGGTGCATCCGAGAAGTGTTGTGTTGTCAATCGGCGAAGAATAAACGGCGGCAGCAGCACAGTGAAACGGGTCCCAGCCTACGTATAATCAGAGGAAGAGGGGAGAAGGAGGAGGGAAAAAACAAGCCTGCCAGGGCATTGATTGTCATCAGGCCAGCCGGTGTGCAGGCCGGCTCTAGCGGTACCTTTGTGCCGCACGGCCATGGAGGATTGCGTGGGCGACCGTAGGCTTGACGCGGTGTAGTTGGGGCTGTTGTTTCCCCGGCTCCGCGAGAGTGCGCTCCAGCGGGGTTCCTTGCGGGCTCGCCCACGACCTATGCGCCGGCTGTCTGGCTGGCAGAACCTCTTTCCTGCAACCCTCGGCAACCTCGTCGCTGGGGCCATCATCATCGCCTGCAGTCTCCGCGAGCAGTTCTGCAGCAGGAGGTGAGAATTGCGTGCTGGCTGCGGGTGGAGTCCGCGAGAGCGCGCCCCGTGGCCCAAGCCGACAGAAGTCAGGAGAGGAAAAAACACAGACACAATTAATCATCGATTCCCCAGAAAATATGGGAAAATACGGGAAGTGGGGGGGAAGACAAAAACCCAGAAAATATGGGGAAATATGGGGTATATTTTTATTTGTGTGTATTTATTTGTGTGTCCTGGGGCCCCTTCAAGAAGCTCCACCCTTTTGTTACTCCCGCAGCTCCTGAAGGTCGAGAGAGCGCGCCGAGGCCGCTGTCAGCCACTGGGGCACAAGGTGTGTTGTCGTTTCGCCTCGGTGGTTTCCAGCAGGCTCCGGCCCCTGTTGCTCGTTCCTCCCTTGGGCAACCCTTGTCGCATCGTGCGCGAAACCATCGTAGCACCACAGAAAATTTGAGGCCTCTTGCCACGTTCAGCCCTGGTGCTATGATGTCCTATCGTTGCGCGTCCCAGGGCGGGACTGGGACATGAGGATTCCCGCGTTGCGATCTGGAACCTGTGCGCCAGTTTCCCAAGAGTACCTGTGTTCATTCCGCAACAATTTCAGTGCGTTTGGTACGCGTTCGCATCCCACTGTCTACGAGCCGTCGATGTCCACGTGTATTCAGTCCAGCCAGGGGGTGACAAAGAGCTGCGTGAGCCGTTTTCTCAGCAGCCTCCGCAGCGTGACGTCGCCAGCCGTGCTTCCACTCGCCGAAGGGCGCCAGGCCCGTCGGCGGGCTTGCCCGGTGACCAACGCCTGCCAGTGGGAGCGGTCCAGCCCCAGGCTTGCCCGCGCATCCAGCTGCAGCCAGGCACTCCCTCCCTCGTTTTCCGCTTTTTGGGGCCTCCTGGGGGGCCCTCGTCGCCACCGCTGCATTCGCCTTGAAATTCTAGTCAGAACGAATCCCAAGGAAGGTCCAGAGAGCAGCGGTATCGGTACTTTGTGGTGCCCCCCCGCTCGCTGGCCCCGAGTGCGGAGCCCTGGGGACGCACTTCAAGCAGCTTGATTGTTTCTGCGTGTCTGCGCACTGCCGCGCATCAACCAACTCTTGCGGACCTGGGCTGCGAGATTCTACATTTTGGGGGTTAGTTGGGTCGATAATTACATTGCCAAGGGTGCTACGATGTTTTCTGCCGACGCGCGGAACATGCTGTATCATCCGAACTCTTTGCGTGCAGCCGTCGGCTTAGGCAATGTACGCAATAGCTTCGTCTGCCTTTTCATCAGCTCTTTGCCATCAGCTGCAGTATTCGACCTCGACAGCTTCAATTTCTGGATGGGTATTTTGTTGGGGAAGCTGCAGAAGTGCGTAAGGTTGAGGTTCAAACAACAACCCACCGATAACAAAGAACAGCGTGGTCGCAGAGTAAGGTGGACCGTAATCTGAGAGAGGCAAGGAACTGTGCATCGTGTTGTTGCCCGCCGTCTTTGTGTAGTAGTGTTGCCTCCATCCGAATTGTATCCTCCAGTGGAGTTCAGGCTGCGGAGTAATAGGCCGATTCGCCTCTTGGTTCTTGAGATGTAGTTCCGCCACGCGTACACTTTGAACGCTCGTGGCTACATTCAGCACGTCGCGCATCGAGTTCTTCGAGCGAATGCACTCCTTGACCACCTCCATATCCGTGCGAACGTTTTTTGTTTGCCGCTCGCCACGGTCGATGCGAAGGAGCCCGTCCTGTTTCCTGCGGTAGTTGGTGTCTTGATTACATTTTGGCGCGCGCCAGCTAACTGTGCCGTGCAATTTGTTCAGGGTTTTGTTGTAATTGCGTTTGCACGTCACGGAGAATTGCAGGTGTGTTTTGCCCATCCTTGGACAGATTTCTTCCGCGCATGTCACGCTCCTGCATTCCAGTAATTTCAGACATTCAATGTCGCCCTCGGGAGGTGGGGCTTGGCGGGCCCTGGCAAGACGCGATTCGTCTGGGACGCCCACAACATCGACGCCGTTTTCCAGCCCGCAAGCTACAAGCAGTGGGAAGGGTATGACGGACACACTGTCGTGCTCATTGACGAATTCGAGGCGGACTTCTGCGCATTCGGCCAATTGCTGCGGCTACTGGACACGTACCTCTACAAAGTCGGAACAAAGGGCGGATCACGCGAGGTTCAAGCCATTACATGGTACATCACGTCATGCAAGCCGCCACGGGACGTTTACAATCCAGCCCAATTCGTTGCTCAAAAACGAGTAGACCAGCTACTAAGACCGCTGACGTCCGTGACGGAGGACCCTGTGGGTGTTGAAGGCTACAGAGGATTCTGAGCGGTGACCTCACCGTGTCAACGCAAAATAACATCGGCTGGATCCTTTGCACATCCACGGACCTTCACTGCTAGCTCCCCAAGAAGGTACGTCGCCGATTTCCAGGCACGTTGCGCGGCTATTTTCCTCTCGCGAAATTGATGCAGGTCGGGAGCGAATCGGCCGAAAACACGGGTCGTGCCGCGTACGAACACAAGGACATAACCCGTGCATGTCCGGAGGTGCTAACATCCGTAGGTCCCGCGTATTTCATTACATAATTTCAAAATACATAGCTTCATAAAAGGCCAGCCTATTGTAGCTAGCCAAATGCTGGGACCGGAACCGATACTCACCGATACTTAGCTATAATTGTTCTCATGATGATTACCGATACCGACACGGTCTTTGTATCAGTCAGACCTATTGCGTGTGCACCCATACCAGGAGGGCCCCATGTTACCGAATCCAGTTGGTTCCGAAGCATTAATGTTATGAAGACCACGTGGTGATTTGTGCGTCAAGATATCTATCATGTCGGTTTTGGGTGCCGTAGTCATCGGTCATGATGGCCACGTTGGTGATTACATTGCTCTTGTCGATTCGGACAGTGGCCCGCCTATCTCCCTGTTATATCCGACCTTCCCCATTTACATCCCATATCTCTCACAGTTCACTTCTGTTTTCTCTTTCACCCGCTGACGTGCAACGGGGAGGGCGGGGGGATCCAGAGAGAGGGGAGGGGGAGGGGCGACGGAGGGGGAGAGGGAGCGGGCGGAGGGGGGGAGGGAGGTGGGGAGGTGGGAGAATGAAGGGATGGAGAGAGGGGGAGAGGACGCAAGGAGGGTTAAAGGTCTCTTTTATTCCCAACCATCCTGTGGTGTTGGGTCCTCGTTTTGAAGAGACGATGGCCCGCGTCTCCTCCTCTCCTCTCCTCTCCTCTCCTCTCCTCTCCTCCTCTCCTCTTCACCCACCCAGTACACCGTTTCGTGGCCCCATAGGGAGCTCCGCCGAAGGCCCCAGTGCTGCCGCCCGCATGCGTCCCGCACACCCAATTCGGCACACCCCTCACACGTTTCGTGGCCCCATAGGGAGCCCCACCGAAGGCCCCAGTGCTGCCGCCCGCATGCGTCCCGCACACCCAATTCGGCACACCCCTCACACGTTTCGTGGCCCCATAGGGAGCCCACCGAAGGCCCCAGTGCTGCCGCCCGCATGCGTCCCGCACACCCAATTCGGCACACCCCTACACGCTTCGTGGCCCCATAGGGAGCCCACCGAAGGCCCCAGTGCTGCCGCCCGCATGCGTCCCGCACACCCAATTCGGCACACCCCTCACACGTTTCGTGGCCCCATAGGGAGCCCCACCGAAGGCCCCAGTGCTGCCGCCCGCATGCGTCCCGCACACCCAATTCGGCACACCCCTCACACGTTTCGTGGCCCCATAGGGAGCCCCACCGAAGGCCCCAGTGCTGCCGCCCGCATGCGTCCCGTACACCCAATTCGGCACACCCCTCACACGTTTCGTGGCCCCATAGGGAGCCCCGCCGAAGGCCCCAGTGCTGCCGCCCGCATGCGTCCCGCACACCCAATTCGGCACACCCCTCACACGTTTCGTGGCCCCATACCGAAGGAGCCCCACACGAAGGCCTCACACGTTTCGTGGCCCCATGCTGCCGCCCGCATGCGTCCCGCACACTCAATTCGGCACACCCCTCACACGTTTCGTGGCCCCATAGGGAGCTCCACCGAAGGTCCCAGTGCTGCCGCCCGCATGCGTCCCGCACACCCAATTCGGCACACCCCTCACACGTTTCGTGGCCCCATAGGGAGCCCCACCGAAGGCCCCAGTGGGTGCCGCCCGCATGCGTCCCGCACACCCAATTCGGCACACCCCTCACATGTTTCGTGGCCCCATAGGAGCTCACCGAAGGCCCCAGTGCTGCCGCCCGCATGCGTCCCGCACACCCAATTCGGCACACCCCTCACACGTTTCGTGGCCCCATAGGGAGCTCCACCGAAGGCCCCAGTGGCGGCGCTCACATGCGCATGCGTCCCGCACACACATTTCGGCACATCCCTGACAGGTTTCGTGGCCCCATCATCCACCGGAGGCCCCAGTGGCGGCGCTCACATGCGTCACCCACACCCACCCAATTCGGCACACCCCTCACACGTTTCGTGGCCCCATAGGGAGCTCCACCGAAGGCCCCAGCGGCCGCGCTCACATGCGTCCCCGCCACCCATCCCGGCACGCCCCTCCCATTAACAGGTTTCGTGGCCCCATAGGGAGCTCCACCGAAGGCCCCAGTGGCACCGCCCGCATGCGTCACCACCCGCACCTAATTCGGCACACCCCTCACACGTTTCGTGGCCCCATAGAGAGCTGCACCGAAGGCCCCAGTGGCGGCGCTCACATGCGTCCCCGCCACACATCCCAGTACACCCCTCACGCGCTTCGTGGCCCCATAGGGAGCTCCACCGAAGGCCCCAGTAGCGGCGCTTACATGCGTCTCCGCCACCCATCCCCCCCCCCCCCCCCGCAGCAGCATCATGTTTCGGGGACCCATAGGGAGCTCCACTGGAGGCCCGAGTGGCAGCCCGCACATGCGCTTCCGCCACCCATGTCGGCACGCCCCGCGCGTGTTTCATGTCCCCATGGGGAGCTTCGCCGAATGCCCCAGCGGCACCCATCTCGGCACACCCCTCACACGTTCCGTAGTCCTATGGGGAGTTTCATTGAAGATGAAACCCGCAGCTGCGGTATTGACAATTGCATATGGTTGGGTTCTTCGCCAGGCTAATTTTTTTGTTCATGGACGATGGAACCAGGTCTGCG